AAAAAGTAGGCTTAAGTTTCATCAACAATCAACAACAAAAGAACAAGAAACCCAGTTAAGTAATATAGCTCTCTATTATTATGAAAAAAGTAACTAAAATGTAGAAATTAGAAACTTGGGTTAGATTAGGTAAGGTAATGAAAAATAATAATAAAACTTTTTCATGGGATATGCTCATGAGAAGCTTGTGCATTATATAATTTGATAAGGTAATGTGAGCTACACTTTTGTTGAGTGATGTACAACTTGTATGGCAGGATTATTAGTTAGATGGGGTTCAAAGGGCAGTAAAACAACAAAATTTAAGTAGAAACAGATGTACACTGTTATGAGTTTTAAACTATTTAGGATAAACAGTTGTAGTTTCATTTTGCAGTCATTCCAGAAGGAAAGAATAGTGGACAATTAGATTTCATATTTTTTTATAATAGTTATGAGGTCAATCAAATTTATGGAATACATATAGTTAGGATGGAGAAAATAAATAAAATATTAAGTTTTATTGAGAAAAAAACGTTTGATATTTACTTAGGAGGTTTTAGAAATTATGGAAATGAAATTCAAAAATTTTCAGATGAAGAAAAGTGTTTTTAATACACGAAAATAACTTTGCATTTGGAGCAGTCAATGCTTTGACTCCATATATTCACAAAAGAATTTTTAGTAAAAATACTTAATTAAAAAAACTAATTTTTTTGTGTACGAAAGACTTGTAATGTGTATGGAAAACTTGCAAAATTTCATGAAGATACGTGATGAGTATTAAAGGTTATAGTCTGGAAACTATGATGGTTAATTTGTGGTCATGACCTTGGCCAAATCAACTAAGTCTGTTTCGAGAGAGTTAAGCATTTAAAGGTTCGTAATTTCATTTATTTCAACATCAAAAATTAAAATCACATAAATTTTGTTGATGTAAGGAAAACCTTTAGTATATTAGTTTTGTTACTAGATAAACGTTAATTACCATTCATTAAATTTTTGATATCAGAAGCTTTTTCTGTAACTTGCAATTTGTGTAGGTGAAAGCTGCTCTTCATCGATCCTTAGCTTTAACAGAATCTGCAGATAAACATGCTAGGATTCAAGCTTTAACAGGTCTGATTGGAACAATGATAGAATCTTGCCCATCTTCTTCCTCATCATCCCAAAGTCAGATGAACTCTTCTACTTTCAGACAACAACAGAACAGGTGAGAGAAAGTGTGATCTATTTTTACAAATGAAAATTACACCTTAATTGCAGAAAATAATGCTAATGCTTGATAACAGACTGTGTCTGGAAAATTTTATATGATGATATATGAGGATTGTATTTTGAAATCCAAAAAAAGATTTTATTTGGTTCTACTTGTACTTTGAAAGCTAAAAGTGATACAAGTTATGTTACTTTGAGAATTTGAACATTATTTATTTATTTTTACACAGAAAATATAAAATGTAAAAAATAAGAACTTTTTTTAAAGCATGAACAACATGGTAAGAATTCTGCTGAAGCGTGGTTTAGTGACAGATCTGGCTAGAATCCCCCACAGTCTTGACTTGTCCAGTCCTCATATGGCTACTACAGTAAACTCTGCTCTAAAGCCATTAGAGACACTCTCCAGAATTGTGAATCTTCCAACTAACAGCCAGAGTGGGAAAGGATCAAACCGAACCAAGACCTCAGCAGCTGTATCAGGAATGCAGGAAGATCTTGCTGGTGAAGCTATGGAAGAAGATACTGGCATTACACAGAATGGAGAAGGTACTGTTGTCAGTTTATGCTAAAAACAAAAATGTTTTGATCTTTTGAATGACAAGTAACTTTGAAGTAAATAGAAAATAAATTTGAAGCTCAAAGCTCAGAGAATAACTTTTGATTAATTCACCATTAAGCAAGTAATAATTTTTTTTATTATCAACCCATGAAAACTTTTAGTAAATTTAAGTATTTGAAGTAGCTGAACACTTGTATGTTTAAATATGAGTATGTATTTAGACCTAATGTGGAGTTATTACTTCATGTATGAACCACTTGTGACATTCCCTCCAAAATATTAAAACTAGAATATGAAGATCTAAATTTTGAAGTGTTTTGATTACAGTACAACTTCATTTTTAAATTATTCTAATTTTACACATCTCAAACAAAGTTCACTGTTAGAAGTTAGTAAAATAAATTTTAATATGGCACACAGCAACTTACAATTTTGTAATGTTTTTTAATTCACATTTTTGTTAAGAATTTGATTGAATTAACTTTATTGTAACCTCATCTGTTTCATTAATGAAGAGAAAGAGATTTGAAATTTCTGACCACTCTTAGTTTCTGTTAATAAAATTTCTGCCATGTAATCCTCTTTTCTTTGTTTTACTAAAAAGGCAGGCTCCAATTCATTTTCAGGTGTCTGATCACAAAAATGCTTTGTTTTTCTCCATTGTTGCAAAGCCTTTGGTGTATTTTTGTGTAAGGCATTTTTTGTAAGAATCATTTAAGAGAATTTTTAAACTTTTCTATAGTTGAATTTTACTTTAATTTTCCAGGTTCTACAGTAAGAAATACTGAAACAAGTACCTCTGAAGCAACTAATGCTTATGGTGAAGTTACAGTAGATGACAGTGCAGATAATACTGACAGTGAAGGTAATATTTAAATAATTTTTGAACAATTCATATATTTATCTAGTTCTGTCATTATGTTTCAGTCTTGTTATTTAAATACATTATCATCAACAACGTTTGAAAGGAAATTGTAATCTAAAATATTAAAAAGAAAAATTTGTCTTCAGATGCATAAGGTTCAAAGCTAGCTTGATATCATACAATAGTTTTGATAAAATTATCGGTTGATTGTATGTAAAACTTGGAAAGTGACTGCACAAGTTTACTGATTTGATGCAGGGACTACCACACTAATTTAACATGACTTGTGTAGTTGGATAATTAATCCATTATCTATATACATCATTTACATTGATTAGTGTCACCTAAATAATAGACTAGTTGAAATTATAATCAAATCAATTAATGTCAGAAATAATCATCTGATCAAAGTTACTGTGTGATTATTCATACTATCTCAATAATCAAAATATTGCCATTATGGTTTCTCATTATTATTTTCAATTAATTCATCATTGTTCAGCTTAATTGATTAGTGTCATGACTTACAAAAAAAAAAAACTTTCAAAAACAGTGTTTCCATTTATTACTATTTTCAATTATTCCAACTGTTCAAGTATCATAAGAATAATTGAAGAATTAAATGTAATCAATAAATTAGCCACATCATTAACTTTCTCAACACAGGCTCGGTCGATTTGACCTACCAAGTGACTCCTTTTTACTCATATAAAATCTTTATAGATTTAATACTACTAACCTAATATAGTCTGTATATCTTCACAAAATTTGGTATTCTTTCAGTAAACATAAGTCTTTCATGCACAAAAAATCATATTTTTTGAAGTATTTTAGATAAACTAAAAAGATTGATATTTGTTTTGAATAGTCTGTGTCCAAAGTGATTTTTATTTGAGCTTATTATATCAAGTTTTACTAATTCATCAAATGTTTAAATGTTAAATATTTCTTAAAATATCACTAGCTTAACTCTCACTGTGAGGTCAGTTGAACTGACCAACCTAAAAATCATTTTTTACTTTTTATAGTTTCCATACTATAACATTTATTACAGTACGTGTATCTTCACAAAACTATGCAGACTTTTCTAAACATTACAAACCTTTTGTATACAAAAAAATCAGATTTTTTTAATTAAGTATTTTTACCAAAGATTTTTCCATGAATATATATATATACACACACACGCATTTATTTTACTATTCCGAGTCCAAAGGGATTTCCTCATTGAGATTAAAAATACTTTTCTTCATCTCAAAAATCTCAGATTTGATTTGTGTAATCTCTAAAACCTCCTAAATACATTTCAAATGTTTGTTTTCACTAAAACTTTATATTTTATCTGTTATTTTCTCTACCCTAACTCTATACAAGGTTGTTCAATTTGACCAATGTCATAAAAACCAAAAAAAATTTGAAATAAATCTAAATTACCCCTTTTTTTCTAGAATGATGTTACTCACAAGCTGCTCGCTTCCATGCATCATGAAACATTTTTATTATATTATTATAATTATTTATTTTGCACTTAACCTAAATTTTTCATACAAATTGTAGTAATGCACTAAATTTGTATTTAATTGAATAATGCACCAAAGAACATGGGATAATAACATGCTAAGAGTAGACAATCTCATTTAACTATCAGTTTTTTTTGGTTTCTGACTACATAATTGCCAACTTTTCAAAATTCTGATGGGGGAGTTTTTACGCAACTAGCGGCAACTCAAGCAATTTACAAGCAAAACTGGTTTAAAGCCCATCAGTTTGCAAATACCCATGCATTCTTTGATTTTGTCATTTGTTTTCAATTCTGCGGGTCTCAAGAAATCATTACATTTTCATTTTTGTAAATCTCAGACTTGATCTTAAAACAATGTCAGAGAATTAAAGCATTTCATAAATGTCAAGTATAAAATCAAATAGGCCTATCTTGCAAAATTAATATGTTTTTGAAGTAAATTTGGTCACCCAAGGAAATTCTGTATCCCAAGATGTCTGGATTGTGCACACTTAGTATTTTCTCTTCTCTGCCAAAGAAGCCATTTCCGTTTTTAGTAATCACATGAACAGTTACTCTTGGTTTAGAATGATAATTACATCTTATAATTGGTTTTCTTTGGCCAAGAAGAATATGAAGCCCGATTTCCAGTATGAAGCCCATGTTTACGCAGTTGGTTTCCCTATAGAGAGCACACAATTGGCTGAATTTACCAGGAAATTTTTAATGTATGAAAAAGTTATCTATAGGTACACACCTTGGTAGATTTCAAGAAAAAATAGGTGTACATGTCTAAAATTGGTAGAAATTACCAAGTTTTATAACCCAATCAGCAGATGGGGTCAAAGGTCCAAATTCAGGAAACTCCCGCCCAAATCATGAGAGTTAGCAAGTATGTAACTATCGGACAAGAGCCGTGACAAATTCATCCAAGCTAGTCGTTGTCTTTCCCTTGGGAAAGAAGCTTGTATTAACAGAGAAATTGACAATTTTATATTCAGAAAACAACATAATATAATACATCATTTGATAGATTAAAACCTTGGCTATAAATAATATAAAATTAAATGTAAGAGAGAACTTAACAAATCCTAAAAGAGAGGATTTGACAGGTGGGTGTGGCAAGAGGGGTCTGATTTTGTATTTGATAGCTCTGTAACTAAACAAAATTGAAGGGTATAAAAATTGTGCTTTGTCTAAGCAATGACTACTTTATAGTGAGTAATTGACATTGAATTTCATTCTTATTGGAGGGGTCATGGATAAAATAGACAAGGCGATGCCTAGATAAAATGTGTCACAATAAGATAAATTCAGAATTTTTTTTTATTGCTTTATAAAATTAAAAACTTAACTTATATACTATTAAAATATGGATTATTAGATAAGATTTTATGCTATATTAATTGGTATAACATAAACAAAAAGTAGATTAATAAAATTTTGAATTAAAGTCACTAAAACCTCATGACATGGGCAGTAAAGGATGCCCTTAGTGATAGGTTTAAGAAGTTATCAAACTCCACTAATTCTATATCTGTAATGGGTTGCATTACTTATGTGTACCTTGTGTCTGCCAATTTGGTATAATTTTTAATGATAATCAGTTATTTAAGATGATACAGCATAAAATGTATATGTAATGTTTTCACATTTTTTCTTGAAAAAGGTCAGCTGAAGTAAAGAATTAATATTTGAGAATATACTTGTTAAGTGCAATATTTACATAATTATTACATTTTGCAGTTTTTTCAGTGAGTATTCTTTTGATGTTTTTAAATACTAAAACAGCACATTTCATCATGTCCATTAAAAACAGACTGCTGTTTAGTCTGTAATTATTTCAAAGGTACATGGAGCATTATTACATGCCTTCTTTTTGTTCTGTGACAAAGCATGTTAATAAAAAAGTAAAATGAAATAAAATAAAAATCCTTAGTTCTTTGGGGAATATCCTTATTATTTCAATTATAGTATAGAGATTAGTTTAAAAATATTATGTAACATAGTGATAGTTTCTTCAGTATCTGTAATTTAAGAAACTAATTTACATTTTTCTTTTATGTAGCTCCTGATGTAGGAGCAACATCAGAAGAAGCCCCTGTCACTGCTAGCTTTAGCCAGGAAATTATTGTAAGTTATATTTTTTTATATTAAATGTGATTAATCATACCAGCAAATTGTATAGCATGTTATGATATCAAGCATTAAAAATTATTATGCCTGATGAAAAACCTCTTAGTCTGAAGCAAACTAGTTAAACTTGGAAGGGTAAATTGTACCAAGAGAGAATATGTGTCATACATAATGTAAGATTTAAGACATTGAGGTAAAACCAGTTACCAAAATTAGCTGGACAAAAAACTGGAGGTTTTGCATTTATGGCAATTGTCAGAAAGCAAAAAACATAGATGAGACAAGGATTTTCATGGTGTACCGGACATTCTTGATAAATCAAAATGGTTAGCACAGGATGTATTATCAGGCTTTCACAAATGTCAAGTATCTTGGTAAACAACAAAGCATCAAGGAAGAATACAATAAGGAATTACCTTTCTCAAGTAAAAGACAAAGATCTCAAATCTCTACTGTGCTATTTGCCAGTAACCAGTGTCTTATTTGTCAAAAGAGAGCAAAATAGTGAAAGGTGTAATTGAAACAGTTCACAATTCACTAAAAGAAGCAGCAAAGAAAAAAATTGGATGATTAGTTGCTTGCTAACATTCAAAATGCTGATCTAATTGCAAAGAAAGCAGATTATTTTAGTTTTATTTTCATGTTTACACAGGAAAGGATGAGAGATATCCAAAAGCAGGATCCAGTACTGGAGAATAAAGTAAACAGAATGCTGCTCATGGTGAAGGGTTTGCAAATATTATTAAATATGTTAAACAGCATCATGAAAGTTCTCAGCTTGAGAGAATGACTACATTAACAGAAAAATATTTCTTATTCATGCAGGCAACTTTCCAGTTCACTGCAACCTAAACTATAAAATGTATAATCTGAAAAATGTACTCTTTTTAGAAACAAAATAAGGTTTTGGCAGTCAAGTTACAAGAATGAAATGATATATTCAGATGAAGTGCCAACTGGTCAAGCAGATGAAATTGCATTTGAAAAGGCAGTCTCAGACAGATAACTTGACAAGTCCACATTTGGATTCCCCTTGCCCCAATCTGCCATTTATTTACTGTCTTCATTAATAAATCCCAAGTGAAACAGACCTTTTGAGTAGAGCTTGTGATGGTGACTTATTGGATATAAATTTATTTAGTTATTCAGGAGCCACAGTGCTGACAGATTAGCAGATATCCTGGGCAACTGATCTGGTTAAAGTGGGAAAATGCCCAAGAATCTGCCATTAGGAATCACTGTCACATTACAGGTAGTGCAGAAATTGCTAGTATTCTCAGTCATTGTGTATCATATAGTATGTTGCTGAAACTTGAAATAGCATTATGTAATAGAAGTCTCCTAGTAACTGTAATTTAATAACATATTTCCATATACAATACCCTGATATTCCCTGTTCAGATATTCATGGCTGGAAATTTGATAAACGTGGAAGTATTGTTTATGATTGGTGTGATGGCGGGATTCTGCCACAAGAAATAGTTGATATCTTGCCAAATCAGGAAGAGACAAACATTATTGTGTTGGTGATGACAAAATAGTATTCTATAGTTTGGCTGAGGTTTTTGAATTAGACAGAGAGAAGTGATCATGAGGATAAATAAGTGTTTTGTTCAAATTAAATACATTTTGTACACTTTTACACTTAATGATACCAAACATGCCACAATTTGGTTTATGGATGGCTGGAAGATAAGAAAAATGCAAAACTTAACCATAATTTGCAATGTATAATGTGTTATAATAGCCTTAACCCTTTCACCATGGGTTGATGTATCTTGCAGCACCTTGTAAACACCATGAAACCATGGTGGTATACATACTATAACTCTGAAAGTACTTATTGTATCTTCCCAAAATTTGACAAGCTTTCATTAAACTTTAAAAGTCTTTCATAAAGAAAAAATCAAAATTTTTTTATTAAGTACTTTTACAAAAACTTTCTGGTTAATTGTATGGTGTCAGAGTGTTGAATGCTCCAAGTGCAAAGTGATTTTCATATTATGTTTAAGAATACTTTTATTCATATGTGTTGATAATATAGTAGTTTATTTAATTTCGAATATAACTGTAAAAGGTTGTGATATGCATACTTTGACCTACCTGATGCGAAAGGGTTAAGCTGAAATAAAAAAAAATGGCAAATAAATGAATTTTTACATAAAATAAAATTATATTTCAGAAAGATAAGGCTTCATGAAATTTCCAGGGGGGGGGGGGCTACAGTGGTAGCCAAAGGACTATTAGCCATAGTTGTAAAATCAATTTGAGTTTTAAAGCTTTCTTTACTAATGTTAAGTGTTTTTTCTTATGTTATGGATGTTTTAGTACTAGAATCTTAACTAAGGTAAACCAAAAACTTTGTGGAGTATGTTCAGCTGTTTTTATTAGATGACTTGATTTCAGCAAACATTAAGTGGCTCCTATCACAGGTAATCCTATTTTTCTGTAGAATGACAATGAAGCTGAACTGGAAGGGATCATGGATGAACTTTTAGACCGTGACAATAATGGGTCAGAAGATCCAATACTTGGAGAGGTCATCTACTGTTCAGCTACTACTGGTCAGTTAAAACTAATTCCTGTGGAGTTTTTTTAAAACAAGATATCTGTATTGTTTGGTAATTGTAACTCAAAAACAAAGATAAAGCCAAGTACTTATCTTGGTTTTACTGGCAGATTTTTGTTTTTTATAATTAAATGCATTTTCATTAATACTCAATTTATACAAGACTACTACTTTTTGTTTTATTTGAAAAGTACTTAAAATTACATTTGAAATATCATATACAGTATTATTGGCAAATTTTAATTATAAAACTGAAAATGTACATTTTTTTGCTATTTTAGGGACAGTTGTTAGAATCTGTTTTCTTACCATAAAAAAATGTAACAATCTGAAGAGATTTAAAAACATTTTATTTAGGTCTATCTATGGCCTTCAAAAAGTTGACGACTCTACATGTTTCGACATTACATCATCATCCTCAGGAGTGAATTACAAGAGGATGACGTTGTAACATTGAAACATGTAGTCGTCAATGTTTTGAAGGCCGTAGATAGGCCTAAATAAAATGTTTTTAATTGCATACCAGTTGTAACATTGAAACATGTAGTCGTCAATGTTTAGAAGGCCATAGATAGGTCTAAATAAAATGTTTTTAATTGCATACCAGTTTAACGTTGAATATTATTTATGATTTTAACTTTATACACAAGTGCCAAAATAATATAATTAATCTGAAGAGATTTGTAACAAACTAACTTTACAAACAAATATCATTATATTTCATGCACATTTAACATACTTGTTATTGGCTTTTGACCACCGTACATACAATTAAAAAGAAAACCTAATGATCAGATGGAAGGAATTATTGATTAATTGTAGACCATTCAACTGTTAATGTTTCATTAACTCATTACATTACCTCCAATTATGGTGATTTTTTGAATTCATAATTATGTTTTCAAATCTCTCTTGACTAACCAGAGCATAAGTTTTTTTTGTTGTCTGACTTTTTTTTCAATGTTACTTTATGTGTACATTATTATTGAAAATAATTGTCATTTATTTAAAGCATACACCATGTCATTCAGTTTAATAAGTTGTGTAATTTAATAATTGCTGTTATAGACAAAATATGAAAAGTTTATCTGTATATATCATTCTTATAACAAATGTAGTATATCTTGAGTAAATTAAGAGAAAATAGTTTTGTTTACTGATTTCTTAGACCCTACCTCTCTTTCTGCTTAATTACTGTTTTACAGATACAAATTTGGTAATATTAATGTGACTAAACATTTTATATTTTTAAAACTTTGAAATATAAAATAAATTGAAGACTTGAATATATCAAAAAAACCTTTTTTACATGACATAGAAATAAGCTCTCTCTCGTATTCTAAAAATTATATTGGCTGGATTTGCAAATTAATTTTTTCTTAAACTCAATAAACAACCTTATATTACGCCATAGAATTTTATCTTATTTGCATACATTGTTTTGTTTGTTGACTTTGTTTGGAAAACAATCTACACACAGTATTGTACAATTAGATTAAATACTAAGAGTAAACATCTTTAAGCTTTCATCAGTTTGAAGTCATGAATTAAATTCTCATATTCAATAATTCTTTGAGGTTTCATGAATTGAAAACATCCAACAGTAAAAGTTCACTTTGCAATATTCACACACAGTCTAACATCCTCTTATTTCTAGAAATTATGTTATGTACTTGTAATGGAGAGTTGAAAACTAACAAATCTACAGCAAAACCCTTTTATTGAACTTCAAAGTTCAGTTAATATTAAATTTTGGTTATGGGAATATTGAACAATTGTCGATACAGTCTTTAAATTAATGAGTATACTATCACCTTAATTGGTAAAATGATTATGCAACATGAGCAGAAGCAAATTAATACCACCTTACAACTTGTTTCAAAATCAGAAGAGAAAAGTAAATCTGGGAAGCAACATATTTTTTTTCTATAGTTTAATATTATTTTTACTAACAGACTAAAGAGTACCATAAAACAAAGTGGTCTCTCAATCAAAATTGTGGAGAAGCCTACCAAATTTCTGTAAATATATTCTTTGCAAATACACATTGAAACCAAATATATATCAGATATGACTACGTAATTTGCAGAATAAATTAAACAAAATATACAGCGGTGAAACATCCACGCCCGTCAGTATATCTATTAAAGAACACAATTAATATTTATACTGGGAGGAGTGCAGTAGTAGAACATTTCTTGCAGGCAGGAATGGATTAAAGATCAAATGGGTCTGGGGCTAAATTTTTCTAGGGGGGTCAAGAATGACTAAAGACTAAAGGGGGAAAAAACTAATTAAATCTCATAATGGACTTTTTTTCAGCACAGGCCTTGGGCTACAGCCCCAGTAGCCCCTGCCTTAATCCACTCCTGCTTGTGGGAACGTGGTAAACAAACTGGAATTGGTGTATTGTACAATTTTTTGCCATCACTTGGAGTTTTATAGACAGGAAGTTTTCCGTGATTTTAAACCATTTTTTATTAATACCTATTAAACACTCAACCTTTTTGCATATTATAGCTTTTCAGAATATTATTTTCAATATACAGGTTTTGGATAATATATTTTTTTTTATTTCATATTTTCAGGTCTGAAACTCATAAACCTTAAAAGAGACAAAGTATTGAAACTAACATTGATATGTGTATGATCAATATAAATATGGTAGTTTATTTTAATTTTTAACCTAATTTTGCCTAACACTGTAAAGATCATATCCTGATGCTGTCAGGTGAAATATTGGTCGATTATAAAATAAAACTGGAGTAGAGTTTCAATTAACAAAATAGTGGAAAAAATCAGAAAAGGATCTTTTTTTTTACAATGGTCTGGAAATGGATAGACTTTAAACAAATATAGTTTGATTTATCAGTTTGAAATGAGAAGTAGTTATGATGAATTACTTTTATGCAACAATTCTTTTTTTGAATGAAATTCTGTGAGGGTTTTTTCATTAACAATCTTACATATGGGTTGCAAGAATTTTTCAGGTTTTTTGCTTTTGAATTGAGATGGAGTATTTCTTTAAACAAAACTGTGTTTAGTGGTAAAATTATATATCTGAAAAATGAATAATTTATACTACAAGGTTGTTTTTTATTGCTGATGTAGTAACGATATATATAACTTTATTTTGTGTTGAGGTTTTATTTGGTTAAATTAGTTCTGTGAAAATTCAGAACTTTTGAATGTTTATAACTAATTCATTCATGAAATTTATGACATATATAGACAGATAATATCAATTTATGCATTTTGTTGTTAATAAATAGCTCTTCCAGAAAATGCAGAAACCCAGGAAAATCAATCAGAAGACATAGTAATCAGCATGGAAGCTGAAATTGAAGACCATCATGATTCCCAGATGATCAGTCATCACGAAAGTGAATTTGAAGAAGATCACACACAAGGTATTACAAACACATAATTCTTGGTTATAAAATTGGCAGTCACTGCATACCTACAGAATTTGTTTAGAGGTGATTAATTGCGATACTGAAACTGTTTAATAACCTAACTTTTTATTTATTCATACCTTATACCTTATTTTCATTAACACACAACGGAAAGGTGAAAGTGTGCATGTCACAACGTTTTAGAGTTACATTAAAAATTTAATTAAACTACTTTATGTATATGAATAAACCTTGGAATCAAAATGTAGTTAATATATCAAATTTTAATATTATTTAAGCTTTAAGTTCTTAATTTTATAAAGAAGTTAAAAGAATCCTCAGTCTCTTCCAGGTATGAGAATTGTGGCATTTGTTTACTAGGTGATACCTTTTTCTCTAATTTATTTGCCACCCTTCTCTGAAGTATGAAATTTAATGTAAATTACTCGCTAAAATATAGATATTACTCAGGCAAAGCAATTTTTATAGCCTTCAATCTTATTTGTCTATTGAACCATAAACTAGAAAATCTATCAAATGACATATCGTACTACATTGTTTTCTCTACAGAAAATTATCTATTTTGCCTCCAGTTCAAAACTATTTTCACAGAAATCACATCGATAAGATTAGCTGAATTTTTAATACTTCTTATTGTATAGTTAAAAAGCTAGAAAAATTATGATAGTTATAGGACATTATTTGTTTTGTGCGTGTTATTATTCTATGTTCATAGGTGGATTATTTAATTCAATAAAAATTCTTTAATGTAGTAGTACCATTAATGTTAAAAAAAAAAAGTAGGCTTACATTTCTTCAACAAGAATAAAACTAGAAGACCCAGGTAAGTACTATATTTCTTGTTTTTCATGTATATTCTTTATTTATTATTATAAAAATAACTTGTGTGTAAAAATTACAAACTTGTTAGGTTAAAGGTAAAATATTAAGTAAAATAATGAAAAATGATAATAGTAATAAAAATTCTTCATTGGGTATGCTCACGAGCAGCTTGTGCATTACGTAATTTGATACAGTAACACAAACTATATGTTTACAACTTGTATGGTGTAATTATTAGTTAGACATGGTTCAAAGGGCAAAAAAACAATAAAATTGAAGTTTAAACATGTGTATGCTGTTATGAGCTGGAAGCTATTTAGGATAAACCACTGTAGTTTCATGTTACAATTTGCTACCGTTCTAGAAAATAAAAATGGGGTAAGTTAAATTTATTCCATATTTTTATAGGGTATTAGGAGGTCAGTCTAAATGACAGGTTGCATATACAGTTAGGGTAGAAAAAATAAGATAACATATAAAATTTTACTGAAAAACGTTTATTTATTAAGGTTTTAGAGATTATGCAAATGAAATTTGACAATTTTCAGATGAAGAAGGGTACTTTTAATCTTCACATAAATCAATTTGCACTCAGAGCAGTCAACACTTTGACTCCATATATTTATGGATGAAGTTTAATAAAAATACATAGTTAAGAAAATCTGATATTTCATGTACATAGGTTTACTGAAAGCTTAAAAAATTTTGTGGAGATATACATAGTATATTAAAAGTTATAATATGGAAACTATGACTGCCACTTTGGGTTCACAAACTTGTTTGAAGTGGCTGAGCCTGTAACAAGAGAATTATATAGTAAAATATTCAAGCAAATATTTTAAAACCAAATATCAAGAAGTAGAAAAAAAAAGGTGCATACTTATAGTAGATGATTCCTGCAAGTGTCTTCAAATTCAACCTTGATCAAGCTCTTGTCTCTCTTTAGTTTTTTACTTGTTTCGAACTGAACTATTCCATGGATGAAAAGTATAAGCTGTCTTGTAACAATTATCATGTGAAACAATTTATTTGAATAGTGTGGTTTTTAACATTTGACCAAGTATCCTAATGAATTTTTCTGTGTGAGAGGTAGTATATAGTTTTGCACATTGATTGTTTTATATATTTTTGTGTATTAATGTCATAAACTGAAACAATCTAATTTTTTCTCCAGAAGATCGTCATGAAAGCAGTGACTCTGATACCAATTCAGAATCTGGCCATAGCCATAGTGAAGAGGATGAAGGAGAACATGATGATGATGATGAGGTTGAACATGAAGATGGGGATGAAGAAGCTGAAGATGATGATGAAGAAGAAGATGATGAGGTACATTTGAATTTTCTGTAGTTAGAGTTACAAACAAGAAGAATCAAATACTGCTGAAAATAGAAAGCATCTTTGTCATTGGACAATACCAAGTTAATGTCATTTCTCAGATTTCGGTTTAATACATCTCAAAGGAGAATTTTTCATGTAGCAAACCATAAACTAACCATCTCTTAGTAGGATGAAAAATTAACATGTTCCCAGTGCCAAATGGTCCTAAAAATTATTTTGAGCACATAAGTTGAAAAATATGTGCCCAATTTGGAAGAAAAATATACCTGCAATCGTCTCATGCTAGATAAAACAAAATTGTTGTTTATGGCCAGTATAAAGGAGAGTGTAGTTGAATAAAAATCAGGGTTTCGTATTTTCTTACCATGGAATTATAATTTTATCTGAAAACCAGTGCAAATGTGGATATATAGCAAGTATGGTAGGCTAGTGCAAAATATTTTAATCTTTATTTAGTATTATTTCTATTACAGAATTGAAGAAAAAACAAAGACAATAGTACGTTTTACAAAAACTTTTTTTATTCACAGCCATGGTTTCACCACTAAAAG